TCTCCATCGCCCCGGGTTTATTCCAGATGTGCACAATTGTGACAACCTTTCAGGCTCGCCCGGACCTGCAGCTTCACCTTTTGGGAAGCGTGGTGTCTTTTACGCAGCTTTGCTTTGTGTGTTTCTAACACGGGCATCGCACAGAGCTAATTAATCAAGGAGAGACCCTGTCCCAGGCAGGTGGGTACAATATAGAGCCGCCTAGTCCTGGGTCATAAATCTTCAGGCTGAAGATGTGTGTGTGAACGAGAAGAAACACGTGATGCTGGGTTTGGGGGATGTGTGGGACCATCATCTATCTCCTCTAAATTTCCACTTAGTGTTTTGGAGCATCCTGGAAGAAAAACCTGCATCTATCTTCCTTTATAGAAGAGAGGGCCTTAAGTACCAAGGGGGTTGAAGAGAGAGGGGAATTTTAGATGCTTTATTGGTGTATGAACCATCAGCAACACCAGTACCTGCAATACTGGCTGGAAATCAGGCAAAACCGAGCCTTATGATTTTTTCAGCATACCTTGGTGCTCCCAGATCGAAGGTGCCAGATGCCAGAGGTGACGTTATGCGTCGGGACCATGCGAGCAGGCAGCAGAGATGCTCCCACGCCAGGAGCCATGAGATGAGGCCCAGGCATCCTTCTCCCGTGCCGCCCATGCATGGAGGGAGTGGGCTGATTTGATTTTTTGCTGCGTTGCGCATCGATGCGTGCTTGGAGATGTTTGAAGCACAGATCCTCTCCTCTCACCAGGCAGGTAAAGGGCTGCTGCCATCCCTGTTGCGCAGAAGAACTGCATGGGAAACCCAAGGCAGAGCATTCCATCCATCCCCAGTCGCTACCAGAAGAAATCCAATTAGATTCAGCATCTTCCTGGAGCAAGGATGAGGCCGGTTTTCGGTTACAAAGCCCGCCACGCGCTCAGGTTTCTAGCGCATCCCTCCCTCAATGACCCTACCTAGACCCAGCCAGATTCATTTTTTTCTTCCTTTCCTGGAAAGCCTCCTAACAACTCGCTTTGACTCATCTTCGCTCCCTGGAGAGGTTCCTCCTTCCTGCCCGTGTGGTGGGGAGTTGGGAGAGCACAGCCTGAACTTTTGGGTGAGAGCCCAGGCCTCCGACCTGCCAACCTTTCAGCCGAAGACAAGTGAACGGCTTGCGACGCCAGCTTTTCCCTGCCTACAACCTTTCCACTCTCTCGCCTGGAGCTCTCGGTGTATTTAAAACTATTTCTTTTGTGAACTGGGACGTTTGGGAGATACGTGAGGTTTGGGGTTGGTTTTTTGGCTTTTCTTTTATGCCTAACTTTGCACCCTTGGCATCACAGCGACGATGGAAAAAAGGAAAGAAAATCACTTGTTGCTGCCCAGAGCCACTTGGGATGAAGCAGGAGGAAGATGAGAGAAGGAGGGTCTGCACCGCAGAGCAGCTCACACTGTATTTCAAGAACAAGGGTGAGACAGGTTTTACCTTAAAGTGGTTTCTAGGCAAAAATCAACATGGGAGCCGAATTTATCTTATATACCTTAACATACCCGATTAGCCGCAGCTGCTGGGTGAGGTCCAAAGGCATCTTCCATCTCCATTCCCTACTTACCCTGCGGTCTCCTTTAGGTCACCTATATCCAGCTCATTTCTGTTAAATCCAGGTGAACTACAGGGCGTGAAGAGCAGCCAGATTCAGCCCCAAGCACCTGGGAAGAGGTGCAGAGTGAGACCAAGATGTTATCATGGGCCGGCTGCCTGCCCGCAGCTATAAAGGGCTGCGGGGCGCAAGGAGCTGCTGGGAGGTCCCCCAAGAAGGGACCTGCCTGCTCTCTCCTGGCCCTGACCCTCTCATCTCACAGCTGTAATCTGCCCCTTCGTGTTGGCAGGAGACACAGCAGTGACATTCCCCTTTGGCTCAAGAGGGATGTGCCGTGGAGTCAGACGCGTCCCGAGGAGATGCCACAAGCCTGGGACTGCTCAAGGACTTTGTCTGGATCCTCTCTGGTGACAGAGACTGGGAAAATCACTTCTTGTCCTTGAGCTAGAGGAAAAAGAGAATAAAAAATCTGCCTCCCTTCTCGCCTGGTCCACCCCTTCGCTTCAACCCCAAAGATGCTGGCACACCGTTAATGTCACGGGACAGCACGAGTCCAGCTAAAACTCAGCGTCTGATGGGATGGAGCGGGTCTCAGCTCAGGCAAAGCCAAACCGCTCGCATTTTCTGCCTGCTTTTCCCCATCAGGAGGCAATCAGATGTTCCCTGGGCTGGAGGTAAAGTCCTGCCAGTTCGGTTTAACTCATCCTCTGCCGCTGGAGAAGATCTACCAGACGGAGGGGCTGGAGCTCCTGGGGCAGCAATGACTAACCCTGGCTTGATGGATGCTAGGCTGGGGTACTTGGAGCCAAGATGCTCTCATGGTGTACCTAGGGACCTTCTTTCTGCTCCCTTTCCTATCTGCTCCTCACCGGTATCTCCGCAAGGAAGAGACCCCCTGAGCTCTGGCCTGCAAGGAATTCTGCTGTGCTTTTCCCCAGCGCTGAACACCAGAAACTGCCTGAGATGGTGCAAGCACTGCTGCCCACCCATCGCATGTGAAGGCAGCGAGAATTTACTGTCTTGAAGCCACAAAGAGCAAACAGAGCAGACGTGGGGATGGGAGGAAGCACAACGGCCTCCCCGTCCCACTCCGGAATACAACACGGCTTTGAAAATCAGCTTCACTCCCAAAATGTCCCCAGGAGCCACCGGCTCGGCCCAGAGCTGGGTGCTGCTGCTCTAAGGTGGCACCTCTGGGACCTTCTGCCACCCTGGGTGCTGCTGTGGTCTCCGGGATAAACTCGCCCCGTTGAACAGTGACGTGGGAAGGACAAATTCCCTCCTGCACCAAGAGATGCCCAACACCGTGTCCTTTTCCCCTTTCTGCCCGTTCTCTCTTTGCAGCCCTGTCGACATCCCCGGACACATCGCACTTTGGCCAGCAGACAGAATCCCTGATTCACCGAGCCCGGCGCAGTCAGATGATTCTTCTGGGTCACAAGTTCAGCTGCGAGGCACACGACCGAGCAAACCGCGGCACGGGGAAGCGCTGGCACCGCAGCGAGCCAGGCTGCAGGCTGCGGGCTCTGGGTCTTAAGCAACAGCCTTGGCTTCTATTTCATCATGTGCACAAGGTCTTAAGCTGTGCGTGCAGCCTTCGCTGAGGCTTAAAATCACCTCTAAACCAGCTTGTCTATGGGAAGGGCTTAATTTTACTGTTAAACAGTCCTGGAGCGCTGGAAAGGAGCGTGGGCTGGGAGGACATGCAGGACCTGGGTGCCCAGTCGTAGTTTGGGCACGTTGCTGAAATATCCATCCTTCCCTCCGGGCAGAAAACCAGCTTGCGTGGAAACAGAGCTGCTGCGGGGGAAAAGACCCACGATCCCACCCAGGATGAGACCCTTCTACCTCCCGATAGCACCAGCCGCCCCAGCATTCTCCCTGGTCACAGGTACTGGTCTGTGATGACTGCTGGGCATGGGAGGATTCTTATATACTCTATATTGTGTCCTGGGGTCTCAGAGGAGGGGATGGGATGGGTATGAACACCCGTCGGTGCTCCCTTCGGCGGCCCTGGGGATGCAGGGGGGGCTGAGAAGTGGAAACGGCCCCTTTGCCCCTTGGCTGGAGCCACCCAACGGGGCCGGGGTAGGG